CATCCTTGACATATTCACCGTTTTTTGTTTTTTTTTTGGTCTATTTGTGAGTTCTCTGCTTGGACTGGAATATAAAGTCCATGAAGGCAGGGGCATTGCTGTTCTGTTCACTACAATATCCCTGGCTCCTAGAATGGTGCCTCAATAAATATTCTCTGATTGAAAGAATATGCCTCAACAGACAGTGCATCTAACTTAAAGCAGGTATTAAACAAACATATATTGAATCCATGAGACTGATGAATCATTACAATACCAAGGTAAGTACAATGTGAAAAATAACAAGGTGACATCTTAGTTGAAATCTATCTCAATAGATTTTCTAACACAGGACTCCTGAGAAAAAGCTCAGATAATCGAAGAGCCTTGTAATTTATGATGCATTTTCAAATATGATTCCTTCCTTCAAATCCCTAGAGTCATACGTCCAGAAGGCTTTTTAACTCATTTAATTTGTTTCATTTTCATGAATTTGTGTAGTTAAAATGCTCCCTATTTGATTTTTGTTGTTGTTGTAGCTTTATAGCTTCTAAGTTTTAAAATAGTCCAGGAAACCTAAAACTCTGAATTCAGTTTGTCAAAAAATAAAACAACCTTGGAATTAAATGCTTGTACTATTTATTACTAATACAATTAAACTGTATACTTCTGAAAAAATGGACTAAAATCACTAGTTTATTAAATTTCAAAATTAAAGCCAAACCTGGCTTAACAGATTAATTAATCAATAAATACTGCATGAAACTATATAACATTTATGATTTCATGGCCAATTTAGTATGTTAAAAACATTTTTTAGCTACCGATCTTTGTTTTTAGATTATCTATATCTGAAGATAAACAAGGGACTGAATTTGGGGCTCAAGACATGTCATGTGTTTAAAGTAACTTCCAGACAAAAACAAAAAACAAAACCATGCCATTTCCTCTGGAACAAATGATTCATTCAGGTTAGAGTCTGAGGAAAGCCCACCCATGATGAACAATAGAAAGGTTATGATGAGTTTCTCTTTGTCTCTAGGCAAGAAGACATTCAAATACATTCTCTCTGTGTGAATTCATTTGTTTCATCCCAGCTGCTCACATCTCCAAAATGAGTAACTATTGTTAATAGTCTTGTTCATGCTTGTTTCAAAGGCTGTTTCTTCAAGACTCAATCACAGGCCCTTAAGAAAACCAGGAAGGACACAGAAAACTGGAACACTTTGTCGTTCTGGTTAATTTGTTCCCGGTATGTATACGGTATAGCAGGGGAAGACCTGGTTCATCGTTTATTCCAGTTTTGAGAAACCCTGAGATCAGCTTCTAATTTTTCCAGTTGTTTGTACTTTTGGATAAATTGCGTAACTTACCTAATTACCATAATGATGGCTTATGGAGAGCAGCTAACTACGCCTCAAGCACTAAGCCTATGTGCTGTACGTGGCCAGTTGTTCAGCTTAAGAAGAACGCTAGGCCCTAGCCGGCTTGGCTCAGTGGCGAGCATCGGCCTGTGGACTGAAGGGTCCCAGGTTCGATTCCGGCCAAGGGCACATGCCTGAGTTGTGGGCTCCATCCCCAGTGTGGGGTGTGCAGGAGGCAGCCAATCAATGATTCTCTCTCATCATTGATGTTTCTATCTCTCTCCTTCTCCCTTCCTCTCTGAAATCAATAAAGAAATATATTTTTAAAAAAAGAACGCTAGGAGCCTGGATCTCTTACTGTCCTCATTTCACATATGGAGACTCTCAGGCACAGGGCGGTCAGAAGTCGCCCAAGGTTCCACAGCTAGTCCGTGGAGGAACTGGGCCACGAGCCTGAGCAGTCTGGCTCCAAAACCCATGTTTTTACCCAGCCTCCAAGCTGGCTCAGGGAATGAAAATGTCTTCTTTCTGAAGCAAGGTGCAAGTTCTCTAGGAGAAAAAATACCTTCTTAAGTTGCTTTTCCAAGAAAGAGGAGGCCATGATGACATATTTGAGAGACATTAAAGCAGTTACTGCTTAACTACTATATATATATATATATATATATATATATATATATATATATATATATATACTTTTTAAAAATAACCACATAAATAAGAAATTGCGTTCCCCATAGAGGGCAAGGCAGGGAGGGATTTGGACAGAGGAGCAGGAGGCTGGAGTCTGGGGAGTGACTGGGGAGTTGACTTGGGAGGGGGGTTGGTAAAAGGACATTAAGAATGTTGCTCTGGCCAGTTTTGCTCAGTGATCAGAGCACTGGCCTGTGGACTGAAGGGACACGGTTTGATTCCCAGTCAAGGGCATGTATCTCAGTTGCAGGTTCAATCCACAACCCAGTGTGGGAGGCAACCAATCAATGTGTTTCTGTCATGTCCATGTTTCTCTCTCTCTCTCTCCCCCTCCTCCCTCCCTTCTACTTTTTCTAAAAATCAATGGGGAAAATATCCTGGGGTGAGAGGAGGAGGAGGAGGTAGAGGAGGAGAAGGAGGAGGAGGAAAAGAATACCACCCCCCTGCCTAGTTACTTGTTAATGGGCTTTAGGGTCCCCATAGGATTTTGGAAGTCAAGGTTATTTAAACTCAAAAGATGAGTGATATTACCTGGCCTCTGCATTATACTTATCAAACCTTAACTTAGCTCTAATATTCAACATATACGCTGTAGAAAATTGTTTTAAGATACTCCACTGGGTTTAAAATAGGATTATTTTTATAGTTTCATCTTTCCCTCTCCTATAGATCTTTTTTTTCTTCTGGAAAATAAAGGAGAAAGTAATTGCCCATATGCAAGTCTGAGTGCAATTTCAGGTGCTCTCCAAATTATTGCATTTACAGGTATTCATGCCACAGAACTGAGAATAGATACAAGGAAACAAACTAGTACATGTTAAGTCTTAAACCTCACTACTTTTTAAAATGAACACTATTGAAGTAGAATAACATATAATAAAATTCATTAATTTTATGTGTACATCTTTAAAAGAGTATAGTCAGCAGTCACCACCATCATAATCATGATATAGAATATTTTAATCACTCATTTTCCTTTATTTATTTATTTATTTTTTAATTTTTATTTTTTTAAAATATATTCTATTGATTTTCCACAGAGAGGAAGGGAGAGAGACAGAGAGCCAGAAACATCGATGAGAGAGAAACATCGATCAGCTGCCTCCTGCACATCTCCCACTGGGGATGTGCCCGCAACCCAGGCACATGCCCTTGACCGGAATTGAACCTGGGACCTTTCAGTCCGCAGGCCGACGCTCCATCCACTGAGCCAAACCGGCTTCGGCCATTTTCCTTTTTTTAAAATTGATTTCAGAGAGGAAGGGAGAGGGAGAGATAGAAACATCAATGATGAGAGAGAATCATTGCTCGGCTGCCCCCTGCACACCCCCTACTGGGGATGGAGCCCACAACCTGGGCATATGACCAGAATCGAACTTGGGACTCTTCAGTCCACAGGCCGACGCTCTATCCCCTGAGCCAAACCGGCTAGGGCTCACTCATGTCCCTTTATAGTCAATCCCTTCCTTCACCTCTGGCCCCTGGCAACTAGTGATCTGCTTTCTATTATTATAGTTTTGCCTTTTCTAATTTTTCATGTAAATGAAATAATCTGATATATTGTCTTTTGTTTCTGGCTTCTTTTATTTACCATAATGCTTTTGAGATTTATTAATATGGTTGCATGTATCAATCATTTCTTGCTTTTCATTATTGAATAGTTTTTCACTACTTGGATATACCACAGTTTGTTTATCCATTTACCAACTGATAGATATTTGGGTTGTTTCCAGGCTCTAGCTATCATAAATAACGCTGTCATGAATGTGTATGACAACAACTTATGTGAGCATGTTTTCATTTCTCTTAGATAAATATTTAGGAGTGCGGCCATTGGGTTACAGGGTTGATAAATATTTAACTTTATAAGAAATGGCCAAACTGTTTTCCAAAGTGACTGTATCATTCTCACCAGCATTCTAAGAGGGTTCCAATTACTCTACATCTTGTCAACACTTGGTGTTTTTAGTCTTTTTAATTTTAACCATCTGGTGGAAATGTAGTGGTATCTCATTGTGGTTTTTATTAGCATTTTCCTAGTGATAAAAATGTTGAGCATCTTTTCGTGTGCTTATTTGTCACTCACATAGCAAATATTCTGGCTATTTAAAAAAGCTGAACCTGGCTGGTGTGGCTCACTGGATTGAGTGTCATCCTATGTACCAAGAGGTCACTGGTTCTATTCTCAGGCAGGGCACATGCCCAGGTAGGGGGTGTGCAATAGGCAGCTGATTGATGTTTCTCTCTCATTGATGTTTCTATTTCTCTCTTCATCTCTCTTCTTCTCTATCTAAAAATCAATAAAACATATTTAAAAAATAAAAGTTGAGCTGCTTTTCTTATTTTTGTATTATAAGTGCGTATGTATCTACAATATTTTCATTAAGTGTGTGGCTTGTTTTATTCTTTTAACATATTTCTTAAGAGCAAGTGTTTTAAGTGTTGATGAAGTTTAATTTGTTAATATTTCCTTTTATGTCTCATGGCTTTGTTTGTTGTATCTAAAAATCTTTGCTTAATCCAAGGGTCACAAATTCTTTAAAAAAATATTTTTTCTAGAAGTTTTATATTTTTTATTTTTCTATTTAGAGGTATGTGGCCCATTTTTAGTTAATTTTTTGTGAACAGTGTAAAGGAAGGTTGAGGTTCTTTTTATGTGTATAAATATTTGATTATTCTAGCACTATTTTTTTTTTCAAAGACTAGCCTACTATTTACTGCCTGCTAGGCTTTAAGCTGTAGTTCCTAACATTTACTTTTTGTTTCAAATATGTAGTAACTCTTTTCTTTGCCCTTTTCTTTTAGGGATTTAGGAACACTGAACTCAAGGGAAAATTTGTGAGTTGGGGAAAAGGCTGTAGGAATTCTGAGATTTTTTTTTTATCCATTGACACTTGCTTAGTCTATTACCTTATCAGAATCAGGTTCAGCTCCAAAGGTCCAGACAAAACAGAATACTAAAGATTTGTTTAATACATGTCTCTAGTATTTAGTTATTGTAAGACACATGGTTTATTTCTCTAAGCCCACAAAGTATAAAATGGTCTTAAAGCACAGAGAAAATTTTGTTTATACATAATAACTTTCTGTAAAAAGAATCACAGAATGGCTGTTGCATCTTTATCCAATAGATATTTAGAAGTAGGATGGGCAACTTGATGTTAAAGAATAGTTTTATTTTACTTTGAAGCAGAATTCAGATGAAAAGACCTCTTGAGATTTATTTTAGGTCTGTGAATTTTTTTAATAACTGTAGATTTCTTTCAGCACATGAGCAATACTGAAAATAAGCAAGTTTAAATTCTTCTGATAAAATATCTCCACTCCTCCTGAATGTACTTTTCCCTCGCTGGTATTAAAATCAGATGATGAGTTTAGCGGTTCTTTACATCGAAACCAAGTATTGGGCTTCAGCACTCGGGTAATGTTCTTTGCCTTAGGATCATATTCAAATTGCTTTGATCTACGGAAGAAATAGAAGAATCCTAGAGAGAGAGAGAGAGAATCATGATTAGTTATCTTGCAAAACTAGACAATGGTTCCATACTTCTTAATTTTATGAATGCAGAATAAAATAATTGAACATCATGCAGAGAAAACAAACTCGTGTAATTATATAGATACATTTTACTTTCTTAGTATCACATGAGAAATATTATTATTTTTATTTCCCTGAGGAAGATGTTAAGGTGTGAAACATGAATTTCAAGGGAGTTACTACCTTTCTAGCCAGACTTTTGGTTTATGCCGAGGTTTGCAAAGTATGTGTCTAAAGAGTGTGAGGGGGAGAAGAAGGCCCCTGTGGGTATGGACTTTGGTCCCATTTCCTCATTTTCGTAGAGTTGTTTTACTTTATCTATTTTAGGTGTTGTGATTCTGTGTTAGATGTCGCTGGAATAAAGATTGTGTCACTCGAAAACATTTTTAGACTCCTGTTTACTCCATGGTCTGGGTCACTGTCTTGGAAACACTAGTAGCTGGACTGATACATTAAATTGCCTGAGGTTCTTTGAAGACTGTAAATTCCTGGGTATCTGCCACAGTACCACGGCCTCAAAACTCTGGAGAATTTGTAGTTTCACACACCTGAGCTGTGCATATTAAACTATGTACATTATAGTTTGAGAATCACTGTTCAGTTTATGTGCTTAGTTATTTTTTATGCTTAAAACTCTTCAGGGAGTGTCTGCTAGGGGGTATCTTGGATCAACGATAAATAAAACTGATTTTTGTACTATTCACATAGATTTGAAATGGTACAGCAGAGAATATAATTCAGGATTTACTGATTCAGTTTGTGATGTTGCCCACAGGGTTAAAGTTTATTACCACATGTGCTTGAGAGTAGTAAAATTATGTTAAAATTGAAACGTTGAAGTCTTTTCTGTCTTCTTTTACAGTCAATAAAGCCTTCCAATTGTCCTAAGAGATTAGGCCCTGATGCTTACCTTTATGTTGGAAAGCAGCATCTACCCGGAGACCAATTCCTGGGAAGGATTTTACCACCCTCCGTGGGTACCCTCGGTCCATGGTTTGGGTCACTTCATCATACCTGGATACATGGATATGAAAAGTTTTTTTGGATTCTTAGTTTTGGGGAGCTTAATTCATCTACTGCCCAACTTGAAGTCAAGCAGAGATGTGGAGAAAAAGAGGCCTAGTGGAGGAAAACTAATTGGATCAATATTCAAAAATATGGCAAAGGCCCTGGCTGTGGTTGCTAAGTGGTTACAGCGTCAGTCGAGGGTTCGATTCCTGGTCAAGCGCATGTACCTGGGCTGCAGGTTTGATTTCTGGCCCCAGTTGGGGCATGTGTGGGTGGCAACCAATTGATGTGTCTCTCTCACATTGATGTTTCTCACTCTTTCTCCCTCCCTCCCTTTCTCCCTTCCACTCTCTCTAAAACTCAATGGAAAAAAATATCCTTGGGTGAGGACTAACAACAACAAAATAAGGCAAATAATATGTTTGGTTGAATTTTTTACGGTGTCTTGAAAACAAAAATTGATGAGGGGGAAAAAGCCACACCACTTGTCAGACTGATGCTATTCCCAGGAAATGTTAAAGTTAAGGGTTCAGCTTGGGGCTCTCATATATTTGATTAAATATTTTTGTGCCACCAGCAAGTTGGTTGACATCACCAGCTTTATTATTTTATATTATCTTTATTTTTTTAAGTGGGAGAAAGATCTTTAGACTCACATTTTTTTTGGATAAATGTTATCCACCTGAAATTGCCTTCAACATAATTCACGTTAAGAAGAGTATAGGTTAGTTTTATTTTTGCTTGTGCTAAAGTGATGCTATGTGAAATTTTTTTTCTACAGAATAAACTTACCTCCAGCACCAAATGCCCACAAAGAAGTAGGTTTTTCTTGTGCTGTGGTCACAGAAAGCTGCATCAATTTTCTTTACATATCTTGGAAAGCCAAGTGTATAGATGGATTTGGGATAGTCTGGTAAAACAGCATATCCTCTGATCATCCAGAAACTGTCATCTAGAAAGAGAGAAAGTGATTCTCTTATGATCTATTTTCTAGAATGAGAAATAGATGTCTTAAGATGTTTGAAAAAAATTAAGTTTTAATGCTTAGAGATTTAGTGATCTTACGTCTCCATTTAATCTTACCACTTTCTTTAGCTACTTGTATCATTAATATTACACAAATAACAATATACCTATAGTTAAGAGTGTGCCTACCCATGTCAATTGGTTTCACTGTATTGGTTGCTTTTCTAATTCTGAAAAAAACAATCAAGTGTGTTTGGACACATTCTCTTAAATTTCAGCACTCAAAGGTTCTCATTAACAAGTAATCTGAACAAGTTCTTAGAAAAAGCAAGGTTGTTGATTAAATATAAAATACCAGCTAAATATATCAAACAAACAATGACTATTTTTTGATATAACTATATCCAAAAATTGTAATACATACTTATACTAAAATTATTTGTTTTTATCTGAAATTTAAAGCATCTTGTGATTTATTTGCCAAATTTGGCAATCTTAGTAAAAAGGGAATATAGGAAAGACAAGGATTACTTTTATTTGGCAGAAAAAAATACTGTTTATACCATTTTTTAAAATCTCCTGTGCAACTAGGTAGTGTTTATGTTCCTAGCCATGGAGATAGTTATTCTTTTTTAAAAAAATATATTTTATTGATTTTTTTACAGAGAGGAAGGGAGAGGGATAGAGAGTTAGAAACATTGATGAGAGAGAAACATCGATCAGCTGCCTCCTGCACACTCCCTACTGGGGATGTGCCCGCAACCAAGGTAAATGCCCCTGACCAGAATTGAACCTGGGATCCTTGAGTCCACAGGCCGACGCTCTATCCACTGAGCCAAACCGGTTAGGGCTGTATAGTTATTCTTTACAACAGAAACCTAAGTACAGGCATTCATAGGGGAAAGGGAATCATGATGGGAAAAGTTACCTTTAAAAACCAGAATCTTATCTTTAGGGTTCTCATATGCAGCTTGAATATCAGCTGGCAGAGATGGCCAAAGTGATGAGATTAATTCAAATTCAACATCGGTGATATCACAATAGATCCTCCATAGGTACCTGTGTTAAACAAAAAACACTTTCTATACAGCCTATGTATGTCTGGGTCCATGAGAATATTTTAAACTGAGGCTTGGCTTTTATCTAATTGGTTGGTATTTTCCTCAAATAATTTAGAGCTTCAATACAATTTCCCTAAGTGAAGTTAGGTGGCTGTGAGTTCAATTCTACTCTTTGGACTACCAAGGTCAGGACATACCTTCGTGCCCATTCTCTCGGGTACATAGAGTAGCAAACTATCCATGGAATCCTAATAAATAGTACTCGATGTTTTGGGGAGTTTAATTCATTTACTACCCAAATTGGAGTGCTCACTGGCCCCATTTTTGCCAAAACTGAAATATTCAACATTCTAAGCCAACACCAAGCACTCTGAGAACTTTTTGGTGCCGGTGTTTGCTAGAACGAAGGAACATTATTGTGGGCATTGCAAAGTATTTCCACAGATTTTCCCTTCTGGAAAGTTCTGATTCTCTGAATGAGACTTGAAAAGTCCTTATATTCTATTCCCCTTCCCATGCTGGCAACCCTCCCCTGCCAAGTGGTCTCTCGCCTCTGCTTCAGGAGCATGTCATTACAGCACTGTATAGTCATGGGTGGAAAGAGTCTGATTTCAAATATTCTTTCCTTTTGTCCCATGTCTTGTTAGATGGTGTATGTCCTTATACTTTCTTCTAAAAACAGGCCTGGTATACATAACTGGCACATCATGCTGCAATTTATGCCCAATAAATTATACACAGAGATTTCCTACTACAGTTAACACTTTGTTGTTGTAACATTAAGAAATGGCCTGCTGATATGAGTTTAACATTGGGCTCTCCAGGTAGAAAAAATATTTAATTTTTATCACTTTCTGATTTGCAGGATGTAAACACTCTAACCATAGCCAGTTTCAAGCTACCAAAGGGATGTGAACTGGTTTACAAAATTCCTGAAAATTTAACAATTGGATCCTGAAATGCTATAAGTCATCTCCAACAAGCGGCGAGATTGGTGTGTTATTTTAGCTAAAACATCATTGAAGGCTGACTTTCAGTGGAAATTTAAAAATTTGCTTAAAGACCTTAAAAATCAATTTATCAAACAAGTAAGATATATATGCACATAGAAAAACATTCAAACAGTATGTGCATTTATAAAATGAAAAGTAAAAGGCACACATTCTTGCTATGCTCATGACTCCCTCTTTATCCCCAAATCTCTTGAATAGAAAAATCTTCGTAGAAAGTTAAGGTATTTAAGGGAATGGGTTTACCTGCCTTTAAAGAACATTACTTCTCTGCGGAAAGTGGTGATAGCATCAAAAGTCAAATCAGGGTCACAGGCACGGGGTACAGTGGGTCTCTTTGGCTTAGCAGGTGCCGTAGGTAGACCCCCTTTGATGAGAAAAGAAATACCAGAATTAAGAGGGCATGTGGAAATACCTACAGGAGGATCTTACCCAACTGAATATTTTCTTCATGATAGTATTTCAAGAAGTGATTTTCTCAACTTCCTTCTAGAAACCTTCCTATTTAGTTCACATTATACTCAGATTTATGGTGTTGCTCACCGTAGATGGATTGGATTCCATTGATGTCATCTTGAGAAAGTGGGTATTTGCTAGGATCCAGGGAGACATAATTTGGGAACATCAAAGCTGTTTGATCATTGGAGTGAGAGAGCCCCAGTGAGTGGCCAAATTCATGAGCAGCCACAAGAAATAAGTTGAATCCTTAACAAAAACAGGGAAAACAGGAGTACATGAGTCACTCAACAGGAGAATGGTTACACCTGAGACTAGGAAGTAACTAAAGATTTGCCCTATAGCGGTTAATTCTTGTAACATATGCATCATCATGTATATGGGAAATATTTCAATATTAATCAGTGGTATTAGTCATATCATGGAGAAATGCAACCCAAAGTAAGCAAATGGCAGAAATCAAGTGTCTCAGGAATGGATAGTATTAAAAAAGGTTGAAGTTGCCAGCTTTGGTTGTTGCTAGGCTATGCTATATGTGCTGTTTCTTCTACTCATATTCTTCAGAGGTTCTCCATTGGCTGTAGGGTGAAGTCCAAATACCTTCACATATAGGCTTTCACTAGGAAGGTCTAGTGTCTGCATTTTCTCCAGGCTTATATTTTATTTTCATATTCCATGAGCTAGCCATGTTCAATCATTTGCAGTTCTCATCTATGCTACGTTCTTTCTAATCTCAATGTCTTAACATCTCATTTCTTCTGCCCAGAATATTACCTCTCTTACCCCCTTGTTACCTAGCTATCCTAGAACTATCTCCTTCATGAGACTTCCCTTATCCCCTCAGCTCCTACCCAGGTTGAGTTAAATGTACCTCTCTGAGCTTCCATAGACTCAGTGCCTAATTCTGGCAGAGTGCATTAAGGGTTAGCAATTGTCTATTTCTTTCACCAAGCTGTGAATCTTTCAGTCAAGTGACTATGTCTTAACCATCTTTTATTCCTGGTGACTGCAAAACTTATCAATAGTGAGTGCTTAACAATGGTTGCTGGCTATGCAGGTATTTATAGAATCGTTACCTACACCTCTTATATAAGACTATATTACTCTGTACTTCTCCAGACTGGAAATCTTACTATGCATGGTGGAATTGCCTTTTTACTTCTCTGTCACTAGTCCTTAGGGTTATAAATATTAGAGTCTGCCCCTGGACTTAGAACTAAGCCTATGGATCCTAGGGAAAAGGCTGAGCCTTTCGTGATGGAGCCTTGTCCAATGATATTTGCACAAAATGAACATGAAATGACAAAAGGATTATTACATGGCATTTCATGCTTTTCTGCTCTTGATGTTGTTGTTGTCCTTGTCTGGCTGGTGATATCACAGGGTTTGCTTCTGGACAAGGAATGGGACAAACAACTGAAAAAATAATTAAAACACAGGTCATCTAAATGAGGTCCAAACCTTTATCCTGGCTTTCATGACCCTCTATAAACTGAATCCTATTCACCATTTTAGCCTTCTCTTCCACTGCAGTTCTAACACTTCAGTAGGCTGGATTATTCTGTCTAGAGCACTCTTTACTACACTTTGCCTTCAGAGTTCCTGCTTGGCCTTCAGGTCTCTGACTGGACGTCACTTCCTCCCCTGACTTCTTTATCTGTCTTTGGGTGAATTTCTTTGATGTGCTTCTATTACATTCCCATAGTTCCCTTTATCCGTATGTTGACCATACTGATTTGAATTGCCATTTGATAGTGTGTGCTCCCTAGATTGTAAACCCTGGAGGTCAGGGTCTGTGTCTTATCCACTATTGCATACTCCATTTCTATCACAGAGCCTGGGCCAGAGAGGATGTTGAATGACTTCCTTTATCAAATATGTGTAGAGCATCTATCATGTGCTGAAAATGTTACAGGATGTATGATACGGTAGGAAAAGGATAACATCTCAGTCTTCTTGGAGATGTGATTAGATAAAATTTGCATTATACATTGGTACCTTTGTGAATATTTTTTTTCCCCTGTGCCTGGAAATAAATCATCATTACCATCAATACTAATAATCATCAATGTCAAACACCTTTTGAATGCTCACAATGGGCAAGTGCTTTGCAGGGTGTTGGATTGCAGGTACTTGTGTCATCTTCCTACAAGAATGGCATTATTAGCCTTATTTTACAGATAAATAAACAGAGCACAAGAAAATTAACCAAGATGCCCAGGGTCCCTCTGGTAGTGAGTAAATGGGAAGCCCTAAAAGAGACCAAGGGCTGCCAAACCACAGACCATCGCTCTTTCCACATCACAACACTGTGCACCAGTAGCATCTAAAGAGCCTGTTCAGGTGTTCAGTGCATGTCTCTGTGTAGCACATACACATTCACACACAGGCCTGGCTTTAGGAGATTCTTGGGAAAATCTCTCTATGAGCTGTAGGTTTGCCCCTCTGCTATTATCATGTAATGACTTGTTCTTCCTACAAGAAGCAGTGGGATTAGCAGATGACTATTGTCTATTGCTCTTAGGCAAGTTATACTAAGACTTTAGCACCTTTCCCACAGACAGACCCTACATGTTTCAATCAAGCAGGTAATCATATAGCATATATTATTGCCAATTTTTTTATTTAAAAATCCCAATGTAATTGGAGATTACATTTGCATGAGGGTTTTGTTGTTGTTTTTATTAGAGAATGGGAAGATATTTTCCCTTTCATGTCAGTGAGCTACAAGACATACAATTGGATTCCTTGGGACTTACAATCTATACCTTGAAGAATATAATAAAGTAGTTAAGAAGCAACCCATTTATTTGGGTACTGTTGCTTGATTCTGCACCCAGAACTTGGTGGAGGGCTCTATTTATTCCCTGGCTTGCTCAAGCAAGTTTTGCCAATGTGGGGCCCAGAACTCTTTGGATGTTTTAATAATCCACCCCTCTTGGCAGAAGGTTTATAGCACTGTGGGTCATAGTAATTACCACTAAATATTGGACTTAATAGGGATGAAAGGATGGTGAAATCTTTGACTAATCTCTGCCTCTAGATATGAAAGTAAATCCTGGGAGTCATGCTGATTTGGGCAAATACTAGGATATTACCTATTGAACATACTCACACTGCCTTTAGGGAAAATCTAAAGAAATATTGGGACATGTCTCAGCAGAAGATACATAACCAACATGACCCATTCAACCCTACTTCCTTCACCCACTTGTCTGTGATGCTAACCTTTGTGGCAATGGAAGCAACCGACGCTAGACTTGCCCTGGTGCCTGAAGTCCAGCCACGCGCTGACTTTTTTACCCCGCTTGTTCACTAGCGCTTGGAGGAATAACCGCATTACAGTTTGTGGCCATAAACCGTACTGAGTCACTGGCTTTCAGTTTTGCAGAAAGTAGAAAACCGACATACAAACTATCTGGAGTTACTTGGTCAGAACTGAACTGTGGCATGTATACCGCCCACCAGCAGAGCCACAGCCCCTGCTTTCCTGGGACCCTAGACACCAGATACCAGCTCCGAGGCAACTGCTGTCAGTGATTAAAAAAAAAAAGAGTGGGGAAAGCCTCCTGAGCTCCTTTGTTTGCTGCACATGCGTTTTGTGTAGTAACGTTTTGTCTTTTTATTTAAAAAGCAATAAAATATCCCTTATTTTAGTGGCAGGGAGGCCCTTTAAGAGAAATAAAATCAAACGCTGTTCTGCAGGAATGGATCAAATGTAAAGATTAGCGTCTAATTCGTTAGCAGACGGGAAAGAGTTTGAAGAGGAAGTTCATGCTTGTAAACAGACCTCCTACGAGCCACGAGTTCACACACACCATCCTTCAGTCACTAACTGAAAATTACCACGTCGGTAGAGGCTTTTTAAAGTCCTCACCCACAGATGACTTCTACCGCATGTTCTGCCTGCTACGCTGGTATATATGCCTAGAACGTATATACCGCCAGATCATGGACCTCCGAAGGCCTGGAATTTTTCTAGTACAATCCTGTGGTTCCCACAACACCTTGCATAATTCCAGGCACAGAGCGAACCCTCAGGCATTGTGGGTGTATAAATGAATACGAGTAAGTGGAGAATGTTATGATTATAATAAGATTAGCAACTTTATGAGGTGTTGTGTGGCTGAGGCTCTGACTGTACAAGCACAATTGTCTGAATAGATATTGAATGCTTTCATCAGTCATCTGAAAATATGGAAACTTGTGAGAAAATCGGACCATTAAAAAGCTACTACTTAAAAAACTATTTTCAGGAATTCTCTAGAATAATAAAATTTTGTTCATAAATAAAATTAGGCTTACCTTCTCCATCTTTGGTCCAATTTTCAGCCTCATCAAAGTGAGTGTCTCCACCCAGACCTACACCAGGAGGAAAGGCATGGGCGAGGAGTCCCAAGGGCCCATCAAAATAACGAGGACACTGACCATGGACTGAGACAAAATTCAAAGGGGGGAAAGGTCAGTTTCTTCAAAGCCTTGAGATGAAATAGCCATGTTTTCCTCACGATATTAAAGCTTACCTCGGTTCCGAAAGGCAATCATTATATCCGCAACCCCCTTGGAAATCTTGGTGAAGGTGAGTGGAGTGACTTTGCTCCACACCTCTAAACCTTTTTGGATAGCCTCATCCACATCAGCTCGTGCCATATCTGGAGTGTAGTTCACGATTCTTAAAAATTAACATAAAGATGTCAGTTGGTGGTTATACATGCATGTATGCATGCATACTACAAAAGAAAATAATTTCTATCTTATGAATCAGATGCTGCAGTGACTTTGCGTATGCTGCTATACTTACACGTGTATTATACTTTACTATTTAAATAAAGTACTTTTTCAATTCTCTCTCATCTGCCTTATTAATCAGGTAGTGTTATAACACTGTAACATATAAGGTTCAAAGAGGTTAAATGACTTCCCTAAGATCACACGCTAAATGGGAAAGCATTCGTCCCATGGACGCGTTTGCTGTGTGTATGACTGTATTATAAATGTTCTAAAAAGCATTGAGATGTTCCCAGTTGGCTTGTGGAAATCAGTCTCATGCATGTGTTGTACGTTAAGAGTGTCAGTTGAGAGTCATGAATACTCAGTTACTCAGCAGATTTTCCTTTTGTTTATATTACCTATTTTGCGAACCCTATTTTTAACTCAATCCCTAAGACTCACGAAGATGAAGGAAGAACTATCAGAAAGACTCTTTAGGGCCAGCCAGGAGGGGTCTAGAGCGATGGTCAAGGCCACTGACTATATCTCAGCTCATAGGAGCACTTCATCCTCTTCCTGCCAGGAAGCCAGCCCCTGTCTTCAAGGTGCATGGAGGCAAACTCCATACTTCACTCTGCGGTCCAGCTGAGATTTGACAGCCTCACACTCATCTCTAAGGTCTCCCCATTTTCTCCTGAACACACGTCATCCGTACCTCCAAACATCTAAATCAAATGGCAGTGCATCTGGTCCTGGACTTATAAGGAGGTGGCAGAGGCTAGAGAATTTTAGGGCACACCTACCAGAGCCAGTGTGCTGGTAAGAGCTAGGTAACCTTGACTATGGGAAATAACCTTTGGTCTCATTTTTCCTGTACTTAAGGTGGTAAAAACAGTGGTGCTTACATCACAGTTTGTTGGGAGGGTAAATCAATGAAATCTAGGGCACGCTGTGCACATAGGAAGTGTGCGGTAAAATAAACTATTATTATTTTTGTTCTTTGGAGATGATATTCCTGTTCCTTGGGACTGGAGGGAAATAAGTTGACAGAAGCATTACCTGTATGTGAGGTTGTATTTCGTCCACCCAGGGAGAGTGAAGCCATACTGACCCACATCAGGAACCCCACACCTGGGTGTCTTCATGATCTCCAGCGTGTTTGAGTCCAGCTTTCCAGTCACTGTCAGCCCAAAAAATGCTTGCATTTCCCGAAGTTTGCCATCCATGAGACTCCTGTTCATGCTTTGAACAAGATGGCTCCCTTCTATTTCAAGAGAGTAGAACTGGTTGAGATATGCCTGACCGAAAAGACAAAAAAAGGCACAGACTACAGGAAAGCAAATTTCCATCTCAGGATAAAACAAAATTGTCTGAAATCCTTTTGGGCAGTGGGGGAGGAGTAGGGAAATAAGCAATGAGGACAAGGAAGGAGCAAGGGAAACAAGAAGGAAACAAAGAGGAAAGAAAATAGTCACCCTGTTTTCCAATTTCCAAGAACTGTAGAGCCATGTGTCATCAGAATTGGCCAAACCACTCAACCCATAAAACTCCAAACCCCCACAGAAGAGAATCAAGCTTCTTCTATGTGTTACATGATTGCGTATCTTAGACATTTTTACTGTGACATTCATTTTAGTGTTTCTTTGAAACACATTCTAGATAGATGATTATTCATCTGGCAAATTTAATTGATTTAACGAAATATGGCAAACCAGCTGGACTAATTTTTAGAGGGAATCTCCAAAGCAGTGTATTTTTCATACATAGAAGGATAAGGGGATCCAAATTGTATTTGGCACCTCCTAGCTGGTCTTAAAATACTTTTTTTTTTTCTAAAAAAATTTTTTTAATATAGTTTTATCGATTTCAGAGAGGAAGGGGGGGAGAGAGAGAGGTAGAAACATCAGTGATGAGAGAGAATCATTGATCAGCTGCCTCCTGAACACCCCTATTGGGGATCAAGCCCACAACCCGGGCATGTGCCCTTGACCAGAATCGAACCCAGGATCCTTCAGTCCACAGGCCGATGCTCTATCCACTGAGCTAAACAGACTAGGGCTTAAAATACCTTTATATGGAGCTCCATTTTCTGCAGGGCTGTCCCCTTTTTCTGCTCACCAGCTCTTCACTTGTTATCATTGCTCAAAGGTGTAGCAACCCTGCGTCTCGCCAACCCCACACCCTCACTGTTCACCCTCACACATAGATCCTCGATGTCCGTGGAATTAGGGAAATAAAAGCAGCTCCTTCTCACAAGGGAGTTCAGGATTCTTTTGTAGGTATTTCCTGTCTTTTTAAGTCCCGGGACAATCAATAAAATGAATTTTTTATTGATAGTCATTAATAACATTTATTGAGCCAGTACCTGAGCCAGGTGCATGTTTTCTTCATCTTCCATCTTTTGTTCTGTAGGAAATGCAGAAGAAAACGCTGTGAAGAGCACAAATAGAAGCAAAAGGCTCTTCATTCCTCTGTCTCTTCAGTTGAAGCCTGGTTCTGTTTGCACAGAATTTAGAAAATAATAGTGAGACGTGGCATGGATTGGCTTGTATCATCGTTTAATTAATAACAGAAAAAGGACATTTGCCATGAAGTGTGTCATGACAGGCTTTTTTTTTCCCCTTAGGTTGAAGTGATTTTGCAATCAAGATCTGCAATTGTTTAGTAAACAAAGCCATTGTTCATTACTGAATTAAATATAATATGAAGTCAGCTCCAAGTTACTTTTGTCCTTGCCAACTTGGAGGTTTTCCTGTTCATAAATTCTTGAGAGTTTATAAAATAACTAGTGGCCTGGTGCATGAAATTCGTGCACATTAAAAGGGTATTAATTAAAGGAAATATTTTAATATTGCTATTTGCCCTTTCTCTATAAAAGAAGTGTCAGAGATGAAAGAAAATTAGTAAAATGTATATGAAAATCTCCCTCCTGTCAGAGTCTGGGGCGCACTGCGGGACCCAGAGTCATGTCCCCGCCCACCCACGCATGCCTTGAAATTGCACGAGACCCATACCCAGCCAGCCCCACCCTCGTCAAGCCCTGCAGGGTGGGGGGTGCAGCCTCAGGTCCCCCAGCTTGGCCTCAGGTTCCCCAGTCCCAGCGCGAGGGCGTGAGGGTGCGAGGGTGCGAGGGCACAAAGGTGTGACAACCATTTGCATATTAATTCTTTACTAGAGGCCTGGTGCACGAAATGTGTGCACTGGAGAGGGGTGTCCCTCAGCCCAGCCTGCACCCTTTCCAATCTGAGACCCCTTGGGTGATGTCCAACTCACAATCCAGGACTGCTGGTTCCTAACCACTTGCCTGCCTGCCAGCCAGCCTGATTGCCTCCTAACTACTCCCCTGCTGGCCTAATTGATGCCTAACTGCTCCCCTGCCAGCCCGATTGCCCCTAACTGCCCTCCCCTGCAGGCCCAATTGTCCCCAACTCCCCTCCCCTGCCAGCCTGTTCACCCCCAACTGCCCTTCCCTGCCGGCCTGATCACCCACAACTGCCCTCCTATACCGACCATCTTGAGGTGACGTGGGGGTGGCCATCTTGTGATGACGTGAGGGCGTCACGCGAGGTTGTGAGGGCGCAAGGGCCACCTAGGCTTTTATTAGTATAGATTATATAGGATTATTTTGTCTGAAACTCTAAAATATCTTGGGTAACATGATATCATAAAAGACAGTTGAATTAGGAATAAATCGATAAAATTAACTAGGGAAAACATCAAATGTTTATTGAGCACCTACTATTTGCCTGTCACTTTAAGTCACAATCTTGGTGGAGAATTCAGACCTATACAGAGACCAAGGCCAGACAAAATGGAGGCAAGTAGCAAATGTACAGTGAAGATTCCTGAAACTTTGAGAAGGGACTGAGAGTGTTTAAGCTGGTGGGGCTTGCAGTTGGTCTTGAAAAATGCGTAGGATTTGGATTGCGCAGAGGAAGGGAGAAGGTGTATGAGTGGAGGGAAGGCCGTAGGAAGCAGGTACTGCAGTGACAATGAGCTGTAGGAAATATGGCCCTATTGGAGCAAATACATGTGTTGACAGCCATAGTAGATGGGATGGAGGGTCTAAGAAAGGTATAGAGAAAATGAATGTTTAGAATCTTTATTATTTCACGATTGCATTTGATTGAGAGTGTGTCTGGATAGAGAATTTCAGGCTGAAATAAATTTCCCTTTGAACTTTGAATGTACTGTTCCATTGTTTTCTAGAATCCAATGTTGTGGTTGAGTAGTCTTTTTATTCTGATTCTTGATATTTTTATTTTTTTCTTCTGAAAACTTTTAGAAGTCTCTTTACCTAGATATTCTGAAATTTCATAATGATGTGTCCTAATGTGGGTATTTTTGCATTAACATTGCCGGGGAGCTAGTGGGTCCTTTCATTATGAAAACTTCAGTTGGAGGGAACTGTCCTGTTATTTCTTTGATAATTTTTTCCCATTCATTTTCGTCTTTTTTCCCAGGAATATATATATTTGTTGTACCTCTGGATTGAGTCTCTGTGTTTCTAATTTCTATTTTCCATTAACTTTATTTTCCAGCTCACTTACTGAGTTTCTCACTTCAGCTATATTATTAATCTCCAAGAACTCTTTCTAGTTCTCTGAGTATCATTTTTTTACTTTTTTTTTTGCATTTTGTTAGTCTATTTGGATGTAAAATAGGCCGTATTTTAAGGGAATATTAAGCATATTTTTTAGTTTATTTTGACATTTTATTTTGCTCCCAGGATTATCTGTATTCCAAAAATTTTTTTGGTGTCTGCTTTTCACATTAGAAGCTTTTTTTTTTTCCCCTCCTAAAGTTTGGAGACCTTGTGTTGTGCAATCTGCTTAAGAATAGGAGGCAAGCCCTAGCCAGGTAGCAGTTCAGTTAGTTAGACTCTATCCTGATAGGCCAAGGTTTTGGGATCTATTCCCGGTCAGGGCACATACAAGAAGCAATTAATGAATGCATAAATAAGTGGAACAACAAATTGATGTTTCTCTCTCTTTCCCTCTCACTTTCTTTACCCTTCCCTTCCTCTCTTTCTCTAAAATTAAATAAATAAAAATTTAAAAAGAATGAGAAACAAGAAAGCTGACTGCAAGCTCTGTGTGCATGGGCAGGAATTGTCAATCAATGACCTTCACTGCCTGGAAGTAGGTGGGTTCTAGACTTGACACATTAGTTAGAATGAGTTTTGGTTGAATATAATAGAAAAACAAAATGGCAGATGACTTAAAAAAATTATTTTTCTCTCCCATAGACGGCATTCAGATTTGGTGATCCAGGGTGTGTATGAGAACTCCACATCATCAGGGAAGCAGTCAACATCTTGCTGCACCCACCACACTCTTAGTGTAACACCTCATCATGGTCCAGATGGCTTCTCAAGCTTTAGTGAATGTGTCTTCCAGGCAGGAAAAGTAAGTTCCCAGTCTCTTTCCAGAAGCCCATACAATATCCTGCTTTCACATTTTGGCAAGAAGTTAACATGTGGCCACATCTAGCTGAAAGCAAGGATACAAACTGTAGTCTTTTAGCTGGATACATTGCTACTTTAAACAAAATTGGGGTTTTATAGCAGCAAAGAGAGGGGAGAATCGTGTTATGTAGGCAACTGGCAGCCTCTTCCCCATTTTTCTTCAGTGTATCTGCAAGTCTTTATTTCTTGGGCTAGTAAGCTTCACCAGAGAAGACTCCTCCAATTGCCCATCATTTTAATCTCCCAACAGCAAAGATGAAGGAGATGCCTCTGGTGCCCTGTGTCACATCCCCGAGGCACACCTCTGATTGTAGTTGCGATGGCAGAGGATGGGTTTGCGTAATTCACCTTGTTCTGACAAAGTCCAGCTTGAAGGGAATACTTGGATATTCTTCTGCTTTCTACCCAGGGCACTGAGATGCCACAGAGCCTGACAGGTCATTGCCTTAGAGCCACGCAATGGGTCAGGGAACAGAAAGATGACTGTTCCAGCCTTCTCTCCACTGAGACCTGAATAGTTGACTGGTGTTCTGTAGGCTTCTCAGGCGATTTGGATGAACCTGAGCCAATAGTAGTTAGCAGTTGATCATAGCAAATACCCAGTAACACACACTTGTGATGGCTTTTGTTCCTTCTCTGTTCAGTCTCCTTGCTACCTCAGTCTTGCTTCCTGGGACCATGTCCTGAATAAAAGAACTCTACCAAGGTTTTAGGCTTTGCTTTTGAAAAAAACAAACAAACGAACAAACCTGAAGCTAAGATAAAAATAATATTATTATTTAAATTCCAAGCTTAGATTCTTACATCACTTGTACTCACATAAAATTTCAGCAGAACAGCCAGAAAATAGCATATGTTGTCAAGAAAAGAACCTAGAAAAAGAATAAATTTTTTGAATTCTTTATTATACTTTATATTTCTATCTACTTCCTATGACTATAAAATATGGTTAAAGAAATAATATGCACTCAGTTCTTATCTCAAAAATGTGTAGGTGAAGTTTGGGCCAAGAATCTATCATGACCAACAGGTGCTCTGAGAAGATGAATCTCCTAACTTCATGTCTGTACTAACTGACATAAGTGTTAGAAAATATGATAGATAACCTGAAACTGAATCTACTGTTAAAAGTGAAATACTCACATCTTACATGTCATTTTGCACTTGCTACATTGATAAAATGAATTGTTTATATATCGAGCTCACTTCCCTTAGCATAGCACTATAATACATAGGTCACTGATGTATCCTTATTGAATAAATGAACAAATGAAGACAATTATAGTATACCAGAGGTCTGGTGCATGAAATTTGTGCATGGGTAGGGTCCCTAGGCCTGGCCTGCGATCAGGGCCGATCTTCCCTGGCTGCCAGCAGCCAGCCTGCCCCTGCTGCCCGCGCCACCCACCCCCGGTTCCCCATTCCCCATCAGGCGATTAGAGCCTGCTGGCCGGGGGGAGAGACTGAGAGGTTGGCCGTTTCCTCCCACTCGTTGGCTCCACCTCCCGCTGCCAGTTGCCCTCTGTGTGTGGGACGACTGGCAGGGCGATCAGGGACCCACTTGTTTGCACCTGCCTTGGCCTGGCACTGCCTGCATCTGCTGCCACCAACCCCTGGTTCCCCGTTCCCCATCGGGCCTGCCAGTTGTGGGGAGGGGCAAGAGGTTGGCTGTCAGGCCCTGATCAAGTGATCAGGGCCTCTGGGCTGGGGGCAGCTCCTGCATTGACAGTCTTTCCCCTGGTGGTCAGTGTGCATCATAGTGACTAGTCGTTCTGCCATCTGGCCGATTTGCATATTATGCTTTTATATATCCTATCTAATAATAGACAAACATGGTAATTGACCGTACCTGTGTTATGCCTCCCATTGGCTAATCAGCAATATATTCAAATTAACCGCCAACAAAGATGGCGGTTAATTTGCATACGTAGGCGCAAAGCAGCGGAGTGAAGGCTTGAAGGAGGCTCCGGCTGGAGTGAAGGCCTGGGTCCCGGGTGCTGGTGGAAAACCGGTGCCGGCAGCCAGGGGAAGGGAAGGCCTATTGCACGAATCTTTTCATGCAACAGGCCTCTAATCTATCTATCTATCTATCTATCTATCTATCTATCTATCTATCTATAGATAGATTAGAGGCCCCATACATGAAATTTGTGCATGTGGGGGGCGGGTGGCCCTCAGCCCTGCCTGCACCCTCTCCAATCCAGGACCCCTCGGGGGATGTCCTCAGGGATCGGGCCTAAACCGGCAGTCAGACATCCCTCTCATAATCCGGGACTGCTGGCTCCTAACTGCTCATCTGTCTGCCTGCCTGATTGCCCCAACTGCTCTTCCCTGCCAGCTTGATCGCCCCTATCTGCTCTTCCCTGCCAGCCTGATCACTCCTAACCACTCTCCTCTGCCAGCCTGATCACCCCTAACCGCCTCTGCCTCGGCCCCCGCCACTGTGGCTTTGTCTGGAAGGATGTCCCGAAAAAGTCTGGTCTAATTAGCATATTACCCTTTTATTAGCATAGATGCTAGTCTGTGTTTTCTCATTTTGTAAAATAAATTGAGAATAATGTGCTGGCATATTTTAAGAGTTTTTTTGAGGGCATTGAGCATTTATAAAATACTAGAGGCCTGATGCATGAAATTTTGTGCAAGAGTAGACCTTCCTTCCCCTGGCTGCCGGCACTGGCTTCCCTCCGGCACCTGGGACTCGGGCTTCCCTCTTCCGGCCACAGGCAGTCATCCGGGACCTGTGATGGCTTCCCTCTGGCCCCAGTTTGGTCAGGAAGGACATCTGGAATGACGTCCGGTCTAATTAGCATATTACCCTTTTATTATTATAGATTCCATAACCTGTGAAGCAATATCTAAAAAGCTTAATATAATTGTGACAAGGGAATAAATCAAAATTTGCTATTTTTATACTTTAGATTAACTATGTGGTGGTAGCTAAGAAATTATAGTAGATTACAAGTCAGTTGTTGAAAATATTTATTTTGAATTCATTTAATAAATATTTTTTGAATTAGAATAAGGTGCTAAATTATCTCTATATATAAAAGCCTAAGTGACCCAATGACTGAATGAGCAATTGCTATGACACTCACTGACCACCAGGGGGAAGATTCTCAATGCAGGAGCTGCCCCCTGGTGGTCAGTGTGCTCCCACAGTGGGAGCACTGTTTAACTGACTGATGGGCGCCAGATGCAGACCTCATGGCTGGCCATCGCAGCCTGGAGACTGCAGTGGAATGGCAGTGAGACTACAGAGTGGTGGCAGCAGGCGCAGCGGGACCAGGATGAGCAGGAGCAGCAGGCAGGGGTGGGAGGTGGCGTTGGACTGCTGGTTTCGACCCGATCCCCACAGGCCACACCGAGAGACCCCATCGGTGCTTGAATCCGTGCACCGGGCTTCTAGTACTAAATAATAATTACTGTGGAATTTAAAAACTTTAATAGAAAAAGAAAATAGGATTGCTAGTGATAAATATATTTATAATTCACATATTTATTGTGCAATAAGGTACATTGCATTCTAAGATCTGCAAATGTACATGATTTTGATGTCTAGACTAGACACTATGGTCTCACAGGTGTAAACAGGACAGGCTGCTCGGCGGCTGCTGGAAAGAGCCACTAGCAAATTTAAGCTCAATTTAATGAGATTTATTGAATTTTTGTGCTCAGCGTTGTTTGTACAGTAAACCCCAATTATCTGTAGAGGGTGTCCTCTGGAGTATCTCAGGAAAAAAAGAAATAAAGAGCTACAGTTTCAATGAGCCCATTTGCTTGGACTGTAGAGGAGAGAGTGGGAGGAAGCAGGAGATGAAGTGGTACCTTTTGCTGCCACCCCTCCCCCCCGAAGATGCCAATAATCCTTTCTGCGGGTTCAACTTTGTCATTATCTGTTGATTCATTTCCTTAAGTGCAGGTATACTGTATAAGCTTCCTAGGGCTACCATAACAAAGTACCAAGACTTGGTAGCTTAAAACAACAGAAGTGTATTCTATCAGCGTTCTAGAGGCTAGAGGTCTAAAATCAAGGTGTTGGGGGCGGGGTCATGTTCTCTCCGAAGGCTCTAAGGACGAGCCTTCCTTGCCTCTTTCTAGCTTCTGGTGGATTCTGGCAGTTCCTGGCATGTACATGCATTGCTCCAATCTCACCTCTATCTTCACACGCCTTTTCCCCTGTGTATTTATGTCTCTCCTCTTCTCATAAGGACACCTAATCCAGTATAAACTCATCTTAAGTCATTACATTTGCAAAGGCTAATTCCAAATAAGGTACATTCATAGATACCTAGGGTTTGGACTTAAACATGTATTTTTTTCTGGGGGGGGGGGGTGGGGAGGACACAATTCTACCCACATGTAGCAACAATATTTATTTCCAAGAGTGGAAAATAGTACCACATTTTCAATAGAAGCAAGGGGTACTGTCTAGCCAAAACCCAGTGCTAAATTGCATGTAGCAGTACACTTAAGACATGTTTAAAGAGATTTAGGAATATATATGCATTTACAAGTCAGATAAGCAAGTAATGAAATAGTTGCTTATCTTCTGGGTGACAAAGAGGTCTTAACCCCTTTCTCTTGAGATGGGTTCACTAACCTAAGATGGAATATGAAGGAACTAAATCAGAATCTGCAAACAGCGGAATACATAAACATATTTTCACAGAAGACAAGTCCAAATAGAGTGATACAAAACAGCATTATTTAATATTGAGAAAAGTATAATAGGACACACCATGGATATACAAATTAGACTTCCCTTTCATGTGGATACAAACACATTTGATTTTGCTTCAACTCTATCTACAATTGAGCCATCGAATGCTTCTGTCAACCCTAGTGACTCTACGACTATTAAGATTAAATGCATAATATCTTGGTCCACTGAAGAAAAGGAAGAAATCTATAAAAAAAAAAAAAAAGATAGAGTTTTGAATTAGCCTGTGGGAGTAAGATTTCTGATGTCCTCAATTAAAAATACTCCACTCCTATCCCATAACATTCAAATGCAAATACGCCACTTAAAATATTGAAACAAATTAGTTTTTTTTTCTACTTACCATTCTCCTGGAAAACTGCATCAACTCTACTGTCTATTCCTTGAAAGGTACTTGCTATGCTTTTGGGATAACCTGGTTCCATGGATTGTCTTTCGTTATCATATCTGATGAGAAAAAAAGTCCTGTGTTTTAAGGCCAATACAGTATATAAGTATAATGGTTTTATTTAAATTGTATATGTCCTTTTTACTGGGACTAAGAATGAGTAACTTTTAAAATTGGTACCCATTTATAAAATATATGGGTATCATTATTATTAAAATAGGTTTTTGATTACTGGTGCAGTGTTATTTTTAAAAAGAAGAGCTATATTTTCTAAGGCATTTGGTTAACGGATACATAGTCTATCCCTCTCTCTCTGAATAAATGTAAATAATAAGTCTAACTTGGGCACCAGATTTTGTGGGCTGTCTGGCTAGCACTTGCTTAAGAATGTTAGACTTGAACTCATAAATGAGAGTTAACCTAACTTTTTGCAGCCCATCCTAGTGCTTTATTAAGATTTGCTCCTGATATAGAATCTTCAATACCATTGTGCAGGCATTTTAATTTTATAAAAAATAAAAATTTCACCCTAGCCGGTTGGCTTAGTGGATAGAACGTTGGCCTGGGGACTGAAGGGTCCTGGGTTTGATTCTGGTCAAGCGCACATGCCTGCGATGTTGGCTCAATCCTCAGTGGGGGGCATGCAGGAGGCAGTCGATCAATGATTCTCTCTCATCACTGATGTTCTATCTCTCTCTCCCTCTCCCTCCTTCTCTGAAATCAATAGTAAACAAAAATTTTTCAAAAGATATAGCAACATTAATCATCATGTGAAAAAGAATGGCTGCCAAAGAGTACTTATGTTTTTTAAGTTTTCAGATGCTTGATTATTAGTGGGTTGTAGACAGGGTCAATAAACATAGATTTCAATCTCTGGTTGAACGAATGGTTGACCTTACCTCCAGAACTGGTTATTCACAAAGAAGTATGTTTTTGTCCTGTAGGAAACGGCTGCATCAATTGCTTGAACATTGCTTGGGAACCCGTAATTGGATATATCCTTGGGATAACCTTGCTGAATGTCATAGCCATTTAGAGCCCAGTACTGGTTGCCTGCAAATGATTCAGTTTATATGTGAGATAAAATGCTTCCTTTCCTACAAAATAATGTGTACCACTTGTTATTCATTGCATACATTTATCATAGAAATGAAAATGGGACAAAGAGTCTTTAAAAAATAAAGATGATAAAGTGAAGTTCATTGGGCTATAATAGCCTCAGTGGTACTCCAGCTTCTATTTAAAAATTCCAACTTCCCACCCGGCCAGTGTGGCTCAGTGGTTGAGCATCAAAATATGAACCAGGAGGTCATGGTTTGATTTCCAGTCAGGGCACATGCTCTAGGTCAGTGATGGCGAACCTATGACACGAGTGTCAGAGGTGACACACGAACTCATTTTTTTGGTTGATTTTTCTTTGTTAAACAACATTTAAATATATAAAATAAATATCAAAAATATGTCTTTGTCTTACTATGGTTGCAAATATCAAAAATTTTCTATATGTGACACAGCACCAGAGTTAAGTTGGGGTTTTTCAAAATGCTGACACGCCGAGCTCAGAAGGTTCGCCATCACAGGTCTAGGTTGTGGGCTCAATCCCCAGTAGGGGGCATGTAGGAGGAAAAAAAATAAAAATTTCCAACTTCTCAGCTTGACATCTCACAATTGGATGTCTTATTTTACATGACTTCTATCCAGAAACTAAATTACCGCCTTGGGGAAACTTGAGGGTGGAGAAATACTAAAGTTTTTCTCACTTTGGAGATGAGAAAACTGAGGCTGGAAGGGGCTACAACCTGCTCAAGTTTACGCAGCAGTTAGTGGCAGAGATGGGACCAACCCAGGTCTCTAGATGAAGCCTGGCCAGCATAACACTCTCACTGGCTCACCTCCCCTGAACCTGGGAGGGGCCACAAAAAAATCCTTTTCCCTTCCCTTCAGGCAGAACTAAAATGAAATGAAACCCACGGCAGTTACCTTTAAATAGGAAAACTAGGTCCCTGTCAGAATCCTCATAAGCAGCCTGTATACCAGTTGGCAGGGATGGCCAGAATAGGGAAATAAAATTGAGTTCAACTCTTCGTAGCTGAGGGTGCCTTCTCCAGAAGTACCTGATGGAGCACAAGGGAGAGAACACACACTATAGCCTACGTAGGACGCTTCTGGAGTCGTGGGCTAGTATGGGTCCTCATAAGATTGCTGGGAGGATACGACCGTATAAGAAAAGCAAAGTTCCTAGCACAGGGACCGATATTGTTCATCCGGTATGTACTTTACAGTTCCAGAGGAGGTCATCAGTGTGACCTTATTTGATGACATGTTTGCACTGTCCTCTCCTCACTCATTGACAAGTCTTATTTTAGTGTCTTTCATTATTGTTCCTACAGAAATGATGAGAATATTTAGAGTACTCCAGCAAAAGCAATACAAGTACACTTAGCCTGTGATTACATAAGCACAAAATAGACAATGGGGAAATAGAAAAATTCAATCTTTTGGATATTCACCCTATAGCTTAAGTCATAATTTCCATTTACTTGATTGAATTTGGGTGAATTGAATAATGTGTTGGTGTTGTGTAAACCTAGCTATAGGGTTCCCAAGTAGCTAGAGCCCATGTCTATTTACATCACCACAAACACCTGAATGTTCATACATATTTTAGTTTTCTTTTCCTGGATGTTTTCGGTTGTCCAGAAACCACTAGAAATCCCAATGAGGCACATATGTGTAGAATTGAAAGGAAAGCTGAATAATATGTAACATATGACTTAATTAAAACATAGCTTTAAGTTATGCCAGTAAAGTAAGCCAAAGGAAGGAACAGTTCAATCTTATACTTGTCTTTAAAGAACAGTATTTCTCCACGGAGTGTGGTGATAGCATCAAATGTCAGGCGGGGGTCACAGGCAATGGGTGTGCTTGGTCCTGTTGGCTGGATAGGGTTGTCTGAAGGTCCTAAAAAAGAAAAGGCTTTTTGTAAGTGCAAGCCCAGTGTGATTTTTTTTTTGTATTTCAGCACTTTTCAGGATGATGAAGCATCTTCACATGAAGAGGAACACTGCCTGACTACCACACAAGGCATCAATGTAACTGTACATTTGTCCCTCTTAAAATTTTTTAAAAAATAAGAGTCATGGTAATTTTCAGAGACAGTTCCAGGTTAAATTTTGCAGTTAATAAATTTGAATTTTATGCTCCACTTAAAATCCTAATCACACCCTTCTCCTCCTTTTTGCCCCCTCTTTCTGAATTTTTTGGGTCACTTAGTATCCAATTCCCACTCCTCCAAAATCCACCTTCAGAAAGGAACGGATACCAGACTTTTACCCCACAGCATAGATCTAAGTCAAATTTTAGCAATATGATTTTCTATAACTATTTGCACTTAAAAGTGTTTTTTCATTGTTGATTGAGAGAGTTAAGAGAACTTAAAACTTTGGTGAGCAAAGGAAGCAGGTGTTTTCAGGGGAAAAGAAGTTGGGGAGGGAAGGCAGTTAGAGTAGGTCTCATCATTCCTAAAACTTCTACTGTGATGATAAACATTCCCTAGTTGTGGTGCCCTGGCAGGCTTGGTTTTGTAATTCTATCCCACCAGAGAGAACCGAATGCTCCCCCCAGTTTCATTCCACTTCACTCTCTCCATTCCATTTCCTTCAACACATTTTAGTCACAGCCACTAGGGGGCAGGAGGTCAAGAGAGAGGAGAGTTGCAATGGTCTTACCCAGATAGTACTTCTATAACAGGGCCAAAGGCTTCTATTTACCTCCCCGAAGTTTCAGTCATCCTATCTAATAAAGAGGGAACATGCTAATTGACCATCATGCCCTCACAAAGATGGCGGCACCCACAGCCAATAAGGAGGGTATATGCTAATTGACTGTCACGGCCTGAAAGATGGCAGCACCCACAGCCACAAAATGGCAGCACCCAGTCCCCTCAGCCCCCCAGCCGCCCAGGGCCAGCTCGAGGTGCAGGCAAGCCTCAGATGGCAGCTACCCAGCCTCCCAGGGCCACCCGAGGCTCAGGTAACCAGGGCCAGCTGAGGCTTGCACTGCTGGAAATGGCAGCAGCAGAGGTGTGATGGGGGCATCACCTTCCCCTGAGGGCTCCCAGACTGTGAGAGTGGCAGGCCGGGCTGAGGGACACCTCATTCAGTGCATGAATTTTCATGCACCGGGTCTCTAGTGACTTTAAAAAATGTTTCTCTCCATTTCCCATTCACATTGTCCTCCCTCCCCCACAAACAATAATCTTAAGATTATTGTTTATATCTTCTTGTCAGCATGTTAAAATACCTTTCTTTGTCTATGTGCATATTTAATGGCATGCATCCAGCACATTTCACCTGTGCATTCTCCTCCTAATAGACTCCCAAGTGCTCTCCAAGTTCTACCACCATGAACAGGGACTGCAATGAACGTCCTTGAATGCCCAGGTCTTACTACGTTCTGCAATGTTCTTCAGATGACCTTACCATAGATGGCCTGAATGCCATTGATGTCATCTTGAGGGAGCAAGTAGGTCCTGGTTTCGCTGAAGGCGTAGTTGGGATACATCAGGGCACCAGGGTCAGAAGAGTGAGAGAGCCCCAAGGAATGGCCAAATTCGTGGGCAGCAACAAGAAACAAGTTGTAATCTGAAATGCAAGCATATGTGGTGAGTGGCTCGGTATACCCGAGGGTGGTGGAAAGATGATCTCAAGGAATGCAGCTACTGAGCCGAAACTGTCTGGAGAAATAGCCTTTCATGCCTGTCACTTTCTTTTTCTCTCCAGGGAATTGAAGATTAGAAGGAATCAGGATTCAGATTAGGTGACTGTGAGCTTCACATCAAATTTTATAATAAAATAAACCTGCCTTTATTGTGATTCCCATGTTTCATGGATGTGGCCCTGAGGCTTAGGTGCAGAGCCCTCACAGGTCTCATGACCCTCAGAAACCCTCTCCTCCTGTGCACCCCTGTCAGTCTCCCAGGCCCTCAGGCCCATTAGCAGGGTCTCAGGAAAGAGGCAGTTAGCTAGAAGCCTGCCAGGCAGCGGAGTAGCCTCAGGCACTGAGCTGACTCACTGCTCAACCAGAGCCCAGCACCAGCTCTTCCCTGTTCCAAGTTCTCCAAACAGCTTCCAGAATCCTCCACCAGAAAGAGACAAACCCTGCCTCTTATTGCTCCATTCCTTCAACTTTTAACTTCACAAGCACAGAGCCATTCCCAACTAGAAACTTAAAAATTCCAAGGCTCATACTTTTTTAATCAAATAAAGCCCAAGCTCATTCGCCAAGTCCAAAACCTCTCCCCGTGGCTCCAGCAGACATCTGGGGGTTTGGCTTCCGATGTGAACCCCTCCCTCCAGCCAGTCCAAGTGCCATCTCACGGCACACTGTACATTTTCTCACATGCCTACATTGTAAATCAGAGCTGGGAGCACTCCCTTTATGCTAGGAAGTGTAGTACTATTTCATCCTCTCAGCATTTTTGTCAAGTATGGTTAAAAATATTTTTACAGTAAGGAACTGACTCACACAGATTTTGAATATCTTCTTGTTAGGCTTGTAACCAATAAGTGGTAGAGCTGGGGTTAAAGCCAGGTATGATGGCAAGACTTGTGCTCTTACCACAACGTTCAGCTTCCTATTGATAAGCAGCCTCATTCTCCCCATGCCCCAAGACTTGCTTTCTTGATCACTATATCTTTTTTCCATTTACGAGTGCCTTACAAAGAGCACCTTTGAGTGACAGAGGCTCGGGGGGATTTATCACCGCGCCCAGTCTGGAAGGGGAAATGCATGAAAAAAGACGAATGCGTAGAGTAATGACAGCAGGTGGAGGAGATAGAAAGGCTGTCAGTAGTTGTTCTCAGGAGGAGGCCTCACTTCCCGACGAAAGATAAAACTGGGTGGCATTGGACACAGCCTGGGAAGAGGGAGATGTTGAAAGGCAGGGCTTGGGGTGCGGGGAAAGGCATGTTAGGAAGAGGAAGCAACAGGAGCTAGTACAGGGAAGTTGGAAAGTACATGGTGTGATTTAGGAACAGCCAACGCACAATGTGGCCGCTGCACGTGAACTATGAGAAGCCAAGAAAGATGAGGCTGGAAAGTCGCCAAGAGCCTTCAATGCCAAGCGAAGTATTTGGATGTTATTTGGTCCATATGACGTAAGCACTGAAAGTGTTAAGCAAGAGACTCATGAGATCCCAGGTAGACTTTTCAAAGGCAAACCTTGCTGCAGCGTTGGGAAAAGTCAGAGGGAGCAGAGATTGGGGGTGAACAGTCCAGGTGGGAACCTGGATCATTTAATTCCAGCGAGCGGTAATGACCATCTGACCTAGCAGGTTGGCCAATAGGAATGCATAGTGGTTGAGACTGTAATTTATCTGTGGGTACACACGGCTCCTAACACAGGGACTCAAGTAGAATAACACTCACAGCCTACATGGGGAGGAAATGGTGGGAGGAACAGGCCCGAGCGAAGGTAAAAGGCTCCCTTTCTATTGTTTTCTCAAGTGCTCTGTGACATATTGTTTGTCACCTCAGGGCCTTGTGAAGTGTCATATGGACCACATGTACCTGTCCTTCTCCTCAAGAGTCCCAACTCTTTTTATTCTGAGCCTTCTCCTGAACAGGGCGTCTGCTATGTAGAAACATACCATTGAAAAGGAGGTCGGTGAGCCCTAACCGGTTTGGCTCAGTGGATAGAGCGTCGGCCTGCGGACTCAAGGGTCCCAGGTTCGATTCCGGTCAAGGGCATATACCTTGGTTGCGGGCACATACCCAGTAGGGAGTGTGCAGGAGGCAGCTGATCGATGTTTCTCTCTCATCGATGTTTCTAACTCTCAATCCGTCTCCCTTCTTCTCTGTAAAAAATCAATAAAATATATATATTTTTAAAAAAGAAAAAAGAAAAGGATGTCGGGGAAGAACCTGTAACTAGATGAAAAAGAAGATGGCTGCTCTTCACTAAATAGGACAGTTTTCTAAATGAACCCAAATATTTCTGGGTTTCCAAAAATAGGACCTTTTACAAACATCGTTAAACTTCAGAAAACTAAGAGAAAGATACACCCTAGAGCAGCGGTCAGCTAACTTGTTTGGTAAAGGCCCAGGTAATGAGTGTTTTAGGCTTTGTGAGCCATGCGGCCTCTGTGGCAGCCACTCAGCTCTGCCCTGGCAGCAGGAAAGCAGCCACAGATGACACGTGGGCAAACAAGTGTGGCCCTGTCCCGTCAACACGGAGTTTCCACGAACAGGGCCTATGATCTGTAGCTTTCTGATTTCTGCCCTAAGAAATGATCCATAATTAGAGTCAGGATTTTTTTAAAACCTAAATTGACTTAGTATCTTGAGATAGCAAAATTTTTAAATGGTCAGTTTGTGTGAGTTTGAAGTGTTATAATAACTTGGATATGTGTGTGTGTGTGCGTGTGGTGTGTGATGTGTATTGTGAAGGGAAAATGTTTATTCAGAAGCCACATGTTGACCTGACCTTGGTTAACATACTTTCAGAGGTTTTGGTCCATGTTTCTTCTGCATCAAAATGAGCATCTCCTCCAATACCTTGGCCTGGCTGGAAGGCATGGGCAAGGATTCCATTGGGCCCATCAAACGGAGAGTTGTCACCATGAGCTGAAATAAAATAATTTGTGTTAGGACCTTGCCAAGTCTCACTTCAGCCAGAGAAAGCAAAATTGAGCGTGACTGCTTCGAGCCCACCTCTTTGGACAAAGGCAATGTTGATGTCTGCTTCTCCCTGTGAGGCCTTGGTGAAGCTCAGGGGTGATACGTCACTCCAGACTTTAAAGGCTTTCTTAATAGCTGCTTCCACATCCTCCTCTGACAATTGTGGGGTGTAGTTAATAATCCTTCAAAATGAGAAGATGTGTGAGGGCTCATCGTTTAGAACTCCAATAGCTTGAGTTTCTTCATTTTAGAGTGAATTACGTACATGAGGGGCTACCACTGGAGACGGTGTAAGGAGGGTGGAGTGCAGGACTCAGGGTTGAAGACAGATATGGGTTCTGCACATGTGATTACATGTTTTTAAATTTAGCTTCTTTATTTATAAAATGAGGATAATAAAATAGTACCCATGTCATAGAGTTGTTGTGGGAGACTAAATACATGTAAAGAATTTAGTTCAGTTTTTGGAAAATAGTAGCATTGAACAAATATTGAGTATTATTATTATTATTATTATTATTATTATTAGATGAATGGAAGGCGGGGCCAGTTTCTCTCCAGCAATGATTAAGCCTTTTTTTTTTTTTTTTAAATCCTAAAGTGAGTTCTTAGACATTGACATTGACATAGTCCTCTTTAGATTATTAGAAGGAAGTAACAAATGACAGGCTTGGGAATGAAGAGATCTTTACCCTTTCATACTCATTCATTAGCATCTAAAACTCTACAAGGGGAGCGATATTTAGTTGCTTGTCTCTGGTGTATCTCAAGTCCTAGAACAGCGCCTGCCACATTATGCATGCTCAATAACAACAGGATGCGTGAGTACGTTTTGAAGCCCCTGGAATAGCACCTGTAGGTCAGGTTAGTGTGTTTCCACCTGGGGTATCCTGGGGTCAACATAAATTCACCAGTGTCGGGCACTCCACAGCGAGGCTTTTCCATCATCTCCAGAGTTTCCGCATCGGGCTTCCCCGTCACGGGCAACCCGAAGAATTGCTGCATTTCCTTAAGCTTTTCAACAATCACACTGGCACTGTTCTTCCTTTCAGACTGATAGATGTCCTTGGGTAACTGGTAGAACTTCTCCAGGTAATTCTGGACAAAGACAAACCTGTGAGGGAACTTGCTCTGAAATTACCTTCACTCCTCTGGGCATTTTGCATTCCTTTTAAGTTACCACAACTTGAAACAGTCTAATATCCTGACAGCCACAGAAACAGAAAACACAAATTTGTAGGTTGACTTTGAAAGAACAATGCCTATTTGAAAGAACAGCCCCCCACCCAGTCAGCACTCCAATTAATGTTTATACAAAAAAAAGATATTTCATAAGGGATGAAGTACAAGACCCATGCAAAATGCTAGACCACACCTAGACTGCCTTATTTTTATATAAAAAAATAGCATTAGCATTTATTCACTTCTTGAGATATTAGCTGCATCAATGCAAATTCTCTCTTTTAATCCTCTTTTCACTGTTATAGTGGGGGTTTACTCCTCCTCACTGAGAAGTGGAGGTGTATTAAAATAAATTAAATAAAATAAAAATATAAAACCACTCTGAAAAAAGAAAGAAATGCAGGTGCAGAGAAGGAAGGAACTGGCCAAGATGACAGTTCAGGTCCCAAATCATCATATTGCTTCTCAAGTGGGAATTCACAATTGCATAAAAGAACATATGTGCATACCCCATGGACACAGACAATATTTTGATAAAGGCCAAGAAAGGTGGAGGTGGAGGAGGGCGGAAGTGGACAAAGGGGGTGGGGGCGGGGTATTTCCTGCAATAATGTCAATACTAAAAATTTTTTAAGAAAAAAAAAATGGCCCTAGCTGGTTTTACTCAGTGGATAGAGCATTGGCCTGTGGACTGAGGGGTTCTGGGTTCAATTCTGGTCAAGGGCACATACCTCGGTTGCAGGCTCTTCCCCGGCCTGGGCCCTGCTTGAGGCTCGTGCAGGAGGCAACACATCGATGTGTTTTTCTCACATTGATATCTCTCTCTGTCTTTCCCTCTCCCTTCCACTCTCTCTAAAAATGATTGGAAAAACATCCTTGGGTGAGAATTAAAAAAAAGAAAAAAAGAGAATGAATTAATCAATCAGTCAATAAACAAAAGTTGAATAAATAAAAAAAGAAATTTAAATAAATTTTTGGGCAACATTAGCCTCACTGATATTAGTTTTATGTGGCCCAGTAACTCTTTTAAAGGGGCCAACACTCATTAGGAGGGAAAGGCTCTGGGGGGTGTGCAGGCAATCTTAAAATTTCTTAAAGCAGCCTTTGAATTCCGGGCACTTTGTAAGTGACAGAGGACAGGGCACTTTGGGGCTCTCACAAGCTATGGGATCATATTGGTTTTGGTTCCAATCTTATTTCTGCCACAAATTAACTGTGAGTTCTTGGACATATCACTTAACTGATTTAAGAGTCACTTTGGTTTCTTAAAGAGGAAATTAATAATAATAATACCTCTTTCACAGGGTTGTCATAAGGATGAAATTAGATAATATATCAGAATAAATACTGAATAAACTAGCTATTAGCCAGGGTTACTATTACCATTATAAGAGATACGTTTAAAACATAAAAGATAAAAAGAAAAAGAAATAAGCACAACACTTTTCTAAAACTAGAATGCTAAGAAAATCACGTATGACAAGTTTGGGACAGCTTTCTCTTGTGCGTCTTAAAAATGTGGCCTAATGTTCATACTGGGAAACAACAGAAAAAGGCTATTGGTGCTGCTTTTACAATGCTTCCAAGAGTGTGTACAAAGCCCCATGATCTGGTGTAGGGAAATCTGCTTACACTATTTTATGCTTAAACTGATTTTTTTTCCCTTATAATTTCCCATCCTCCTGCTCTCTTGTGCACCTGGGATTTGGGGCTGCAAAGACAGTCACATGGAAGGAGCCAGGCGTGGAATAACTGGGTTGCAGATGAACTGGGAGGGAAAATCTTAGGTAAGTCGAAGAGAAAACCGCTCAGTTGAGTAAGTAAAACCATTCCTTCCCAAAGGGTTCCCCAGATGGAGGCAGCTCAGCAGCAGTGTTTGGCCAGGATTTGAAGAGCCTGGCTTTCAGAGGATTCAGCTTGGAACCCCCAAACCACTGAAAGGAGATGTTTAAGCTCAAGCAGATTATCCACATAATTTCTTTCAGGCTGTTTTAATTAAAAGGAGAAAACAACCCATACAATTTCCTACTTACCAGCAAATCAACCACCCACCTGATCGTTAATTTACCTGAACAACTTCTATATATTTTTCTCCTTTGGGTTGAGAAGATACTGGAAAGGCCTTGAAAAGCTGTGTGTGGAATAAGAGCAGAAGTGGGAGCACCTTCAGACTGGACATGGCCTTCCCTCCAAACGCCACCTCCCCTGGCCTTCCGCTCTGCCGCTCTGGGTAGGGTCCTTCCCCGGGGGGTGCCCAGACGTTCACAGAATCACGTATGTGTCCCTCGCTGCTCTCTTGGTCCCTTATAAAGCTGTGTCTTAAACAATTGCCACAACGGGAATGTGAAGAAACACAGGTTAATTACACTCTGACAATTTTGCAATGTTAAAATGTGATTTAATATCCTGCCAATGAAGGAGTCTTTCAACAGAAAAACAGTGCAATTTACTACACTTTGATTTTGGGGTTTTTAGTTAGATATTAACTTTTGCAAAATCGTCTGGTCAAGGAAAAAGAATAGAGATTAATTGTGAAGTTATGAACAGCAGTCATCTACGGCTGGCACGTATACCAGGGAATATTGTTTGTTAGTGGTAGGTAACTTGGGACCAGGAAGCCCAATTTGAGAGCCTCTGCACTCACCGCCCCTGCTGTTTGTGAGGGGTGTGTTGGGAGTGTTGTCACAAAGCAGGATTTCTATGGGGGTCTCAGAGCAGCTCTGAAGGTCGTGGTTCTGGCATCAATGTATTAGAAAATCCCTCGCCCTAACGGGTTTGGCTCAGTGGATACAGTGTCGACCTGCAGACTGAAGGGTCCCAGGTTCGATTCTGATCAAGGGCATGTACCCAGTAGGGGGTGTGCAGGAGGCAGCTGATCGATGTTCCTCTCTCATCGATGTTTCTAACTCTCTATCCCTTTCCCTTCCTCTCTGTAAAAAATCAATAAAATATATTATAAAAAAAAAAGAAAAGAAAGAAAATCCCCAACCTGGAAGCCGGATTTTCCACAGGAAAGACAAGGAAAGCAATACTGAGGATGACAATAATCGACATTGATTGGATATTTATTATGTCCCAGACATATGTGCTGTACCTATATCACCCCAGGTCACCCTCACACAGCCTTGGGAGGTAGGTGCTATTATAATCTGTATTTTGCACAGGAACTCAAATCTGGAGAAGTGAGGTGACTTGTATAAGAGTCACACACGATGATTGTAGGGGAGCCAGGATTCAATCCAGGTGGAATGTTTAGGGAGACGGAGCCTGCGCTGGTATATCTCTACTGGGGGCTCGGCTGGCCCCTAATGAGCAATAGCTCCAGGCCAGCAACAACTTGGATACTGTGGCTTGTGTTCCGAGAGAAGGAGACGAACAAGAGGGAGAATGAGACTAAGTGAGGATTTGCAGACAATGTGGCTACACAGGGGGCTGTATTGGTGAGAGGCCCTTGGGCATGCTTTTCAAATTATGTCACTTCTTCCTACTTATTCTAACTCTACATGCATGTAAATTATGTTACCTTACCATACAGTTTTTGTATATATTCATTTACATATATTCTAAAGGGCATTCTTTATATATTCTTGTATATAAATCTATACTAATAAAAGGGTAATATGTTAATTAGACCAGACATCTTCCAGATGTCCTTCTGGACAAAGCCACAGTGGTGGGGGCCAAGGCAGAGGCAGTTAGGGGTGATCAGGCCGGCAGGGGAGAGCAGTTAGGGGCGATCAGGCCATCAGGGGAGGGCAGTCAGGGGTGATCAGATTGGCAGGGAGCAGTTAGGGAGCGATCAGGTTGGTAGGGGAGCAGTTAGGGGAATCAGGACAGCAGGCAGAGTGGTTAGGAGCCAGTGGTCCAGGATGGCGAGGGGAATGTCTGACTGCAGGTTTAGACCCAATCTCTGTGGTCAGACATCCCTCAAGGGGTCCTGGATTGGAGAGGGTACAGGCCAGGCTGATATACATAAACATGTATGATATATAATGTCTTAATATGTAAATAAAGTCTTTGTTTAGGATGTTATGATAAGTAGCTCAGCTCCCTCCTGATGTTGCTTATATTCTTTGTAAACAATCCAGAATAATGTGTCTGGAGTTAGAACATATCTGGAGAGCAGATTAATGTTCATGATGTAGATTCCTGCATTCACTCAATAAACATTTCCTGCTATCTACCATATGCCAGGTGCTGTGATGGATAATAGGTTATTGGAGATCAGTGAATAGTAGTTCAGATAAAATGCTGTCTGAAGGAAAGAACAATGGTGGGGGGAAGTGCAGCCAAGGGAGGCTTCATGGTGGAGGTAGAATTTGAACTGAACTTTGAAGGAGAAGTAGATTGTGAACATGTAGAGTTGTGATGGTTCATCCCCTGTACACATGTGGTAGCGCCCCTCATCCCAAGTTCAAGATGTTCTAAGGTCATGTTCTTATTATCCCCAAATGGGGGCACAGCTTAGTCATGATGTGGCTTCTTCCATATCAGGTCTTTCCTTACTGAATAAGAATGTCTTAACATTGGTCTTCTTTATGTTGAGTTATTTTGATGCGCTGACTTATTTATAAGATTTATAAACATAGTTTCTTCTGACCATAATGGTAGGGGATTTAGATAAGAATTCAGCACTTTGGTGAACTCAGTTCTCTGGCATGTTGTGTTAAAAACAGAATTGTTGGGTCTGGATCCCTGACAACAGGTCCAGCTCGAGTGGTGTGATGGAGAAGGCCATGTTTGTTTCCAGGGCCTCCAGCTTCTGCTTTCTGAATCCTTTCTTAACATCCGACCATCCCCTGCCTGCACTGTGTCTGCGCCTTACCCCTTCTGATGCCCGGGAATCAGAGTTCTCTTAGGCCATCTTCTGGAAATCCTGCATCTGGGAGAGGATCAACTATGTCATTTACACCTTAGTGTAAGCTTAGGGGCTATTTTCTTTTAAGCCAATTTCTTACTAGGAAAAAACCCAAACCAAACAAGCAAATCAAAAAATGAAATAAAGCAAAAAACATTGTTTCCTATTAGTTTAAGAGAAAGGAGGAAGATAAAGAAAACTTAGTTTCAGCCCTGGTCAATGGCTCAGTTGGTTGGAGCATCATACCATACACCAAAAAGTTGTGGGGTTAGATTCCTGATCAAGGTCCATACCTACATTGCAGGTTTGATCCATGGTTGGGGTGAGTACAGGGGGCAACTGATTGATGTTTCTCTCTCATTTCAATGTTTCTCTCCCCCCCCTCCCCCCACCCCCCCCCCCACCCCCCGCTTCCTATCTCTCTATCTCTCAAGAAAAATCAATAAAAACATATCCTCGGGTCATGGTTAAAAAAAAAAAAGAAGAAAATTTCATTTTGGACAGAGACAATACAATGTAAGACAATGGAGGATCTTTTTATCTCACCACTGCCATCCCCTGATGGGTCACCCCCACAGCAGAGATAAAAAATTGTATTTTTATTACTCAGTTTTGCTTTTTAGGTCTAAAAAGCAAAAACTGATTGCATAGATATAGTCTGTTTTCTTTATAGTTAAAAAAAAATGGGTCCAGCCAGCAGGGAGGGGCAAAGGTAACTGGGAAAGCTGCCTGGAGGTGTTCATGTGTGGCTGGATCTTGAAGGTTGAGTAAGGGTTTGCCAACAAGGAATGTAATCCTGTAGAGCAGGGGTCCTCAAACTTTTTAAACAGGGGGCCAGTTCACTGTCCCTCAGACCATTGGAGGGCCGGACTATAGTTTAAAAAAAAAAACTATGGACAAATTCCTATGCACACTGCACATATCTTATTTTGAAGTAAAAAAACAAAACGGGAACAAATACAATATTTGTATTTGCATGTGGTCCGCGGGCCATAGTTTGAGGACCCCTGCTGTAGAGGAAATAGCATGCACTAAGCTCAGAAGTGTAGCACATGGCTAATTTGATCCATATAAGCCAAGGCAAAATATCCTTTGCATCAGGTATTTTTGAGCTTTGATGATCAGGATGGAGGCCTACACACTTTGATCAAGTTAATAAAATAATTTTTTGGGTCAGTTATACTGAAGGGTAAAGAATATTGCACTTGAAATTATACTACTGAGTTCCAATTGTAGCTCTGCCACTTCCTATTTATGCAACTTTATCAAATCATTTCAATTCTTCTGAGCCTCAACTTTCACATTTGTTGAAAGTTGGTACATTAACATCTCCCTTGGACAGCATCGAGAGGATTAGATGAGTGGTATATGGAAAAGTCTGAGTAAATCCTCCAGTGTGGTATCCTCTTTGTATTGTGAATGTGATGAAGTGATAGATGTGTTAGTTCATGTGTCCACTCCATGAATTCAGTTAGTAATGTTGAGAAGGTCCTCTTTTTGGAAGGAGAACTGCTTCAAAGTTAAGCCACAGAGTGATGAAGTAATTTCTACAGTTTCTTTCAGTATCCAGTGCTGGGTGCAGCCAGGGAATATATGCATTTAACTTATGCACCCTTTACACGGAGTAGAAATGATTATGTTAAAATCGTACAAACCACCATGAGCCAAACGCTGAGCTAAGCTGGCAGTCATTACTATTGGGGGAGGAAACCCTGTAGGACTCTTAGATGTTCACTATCTATCATCGCCCTAAGTTCCGAAGCAATCTAAAGCAGTAAGGGTCATTATTCCCATCTATATATAAAAAAGTCAAGTGACTAGAATGCTGGAATGACTGGAACGACCGGTCGCTATGACACGCACTGCGGCAGGCCAACTGGCCTGATTGGGGGGTGGCCCCTCCCCCGGCCAGCCCTGGCCCCTGATCGGCTCCTCCTCCCCACTGGCTTGGCCTGATAGGCTCCCATTGGGGCAGGCTGGCTGGACCCCACCCGTGTATTAATTCATGCACTGGGCCTCTAGTTTTAAAGATAAGGACATTGAGGTTCAGAGATCTGATTCAAACTTACCTTTTCATTTATTCTTCCTAGTAACTCCCTTTGATCTCTCAGTAGGAAAAATTCAAAATAACACAAGGGTTCTCAGTCTTGGTTCTATATCAGAATCTGCATTAAAAATACAGATGTAAGCTTCACTTTTGCTACTGAGTCAGAATCTCTGGGGTGGGCCTCAGGCATACATAATTTCCGAGAGCATCTCAGGTGACTCTGAGGATGAGTTAAGAACCTCTGTTGTAAGAGAGGATAGAGAACATGCAAGAGGTGTGGTAAACATCCACATCTTTAAGATTTAAAGGAAGGAACAATCATATCCTATTGGGGAGATCAGCAAAGCCTTCATAGAAGGAGTGGTCCTTGAGATGAATACTGAATGATGGATTGAATTTTGGCATTGAGACTGGGGTGAATAAGAGTGAGATTGGAAAAAACAAAAAACAAAGGCAG